TGCAGATTGTTTTCAATATGCATGTGTAGATGCCCTACCATAGCAACACAGTTGCATTGCTAAGCAGAAATGGATCTACAGGGAAAAGTATGGTAGGGTGGGGCATGGATCTAAAGGGAAAAGTATGGTTGGGTGGGGCCGGGATCTACAGGGTGGAGGATGTTTGGGTGGGGCAGGGATCTACAGCGTGGAGGATGGTTGGGTGGGGCATGGATATACAGGGTGGAGGATGGTTGGGTAGGGCAGAGATCACTGGTGATATAGGGAAGAGATGATAGGAAGGGAAGATTGAGAGAAAGGACTTTTGGCATTATGGGTCATTTTCAGCCTCATATAAAATGTAAAAAGTTCAATTTATTTACCAACTTTTGTTATAAAAATCATTGATTATATTGGAACTAACTTTCTTTGTGCAGATTGTTTTCAATATGCATGGTTGGGTGGGGCAGGAATCTACAGGGTGGAGGATAGTTGGGTGGGGCATGGATCTACAGGGTGGAGGATGGTTGGGTAGGGCAGAGATCAATGGTGATATAGGGAAGAGATGATAGGAAGGGAAGATTGGGAGAAAGGACTTTTGGCATTATGGGTCATTTTCAGCCTCATATAAAATGTAAAAAGTTCAATTTATTTACCAACTTTTGTTATAAAAATCATTGATTATATTGGAACTAACTTTCTTTGTGCAGATTGTTTTCAATATGCATGTGTAGATGCCCTACCATAGCAACACAGTTGCATTGCTAAGCAGAAATAACAGAAATGGGGTGCATGTCCTCTCTACTATGCCATATCTCCTGTAACAGTTGTTTGATGAATTTGAAATTTCCTATTTGCATACTTCATTTATTGCAGATTTTGAATAAAACAACTAATTCTTAACCCCAGATGAGGCTAGAAATGACCCTTAAGACCCCTAGTCCTTTGTTTAAAAGGGAGGTGATGGTGAGAAGCGAGGAGAGGGAAATAAATAAAAGAGTAAAATAGGGATAGCTCTATACATGTATTACACTCTCACTTTAGGGTTTGGTAGAGTGAGAATTTGTTTACGAAAGCGTAAAAGCCTTTTCCTAGTGGTGTCCTCGTCATTGTACAATTTCATTTTCTGATGGTTGGTGAACATCATTGTGAGTTTTCAGTGTTTGATGGGATGTTTGTCCAGGCGGGTTACTCCTCATTGAAGGAGAATTACTAGATCTTTGAGATATTTCAACAAATTGGCCATTAGCTTGACTGTAAATATCACTAACTGCATTTGTAAACATGGCAGACTTCAGACAAACAATAAAGATAAAATTTGGCATGTGTCTGAAAGAATTCTGGTTTTTCTCTCTGGAAAGTCTTTGGTTGTTGTTCGTAGATAATGTTACTTTAATAAATAAATGCTTTCTTTATATTAAACTTATTTTTTTATATAAAATTATTTACATAAAGAAAAGACATTTCCATGACATAATTTTAGGCATTGGAATATATTCTTCCTGCAGGGAGTTAGTAAAGTAAATAAGGGGATGACTGCGTCAGGGTAGATTTCCTGTTTTTCGTAAAAAAGTATTGATATGGATTATATACACACATGTGCTACAAGTCCTAAACGTGATAAAATGAAGGTTCATATATCTGTGTGTATATATAAACACAGACATATGAACCTTCATTTAATCACGTGTAGGACTGGTAGCACATGGGTGTATATATAAACACATGTATATGAACCTTCATTTCATAACGTTTAGGACTGGTAGCACATCTGTGTATATATAAACACATGTATATGAACCTTCATGTCATCACGTTTAGGGCTGGTAGCACCTGTGTGTATATATAAATACAGATATATGAACCTTCCTTTCATCACGTTTAGTACTGGTAGCACATGTTTTTATATATAAACACAGATGTATGAACCTTCATTTAATCACGTGTAGGACTGGTAGCACATCTGTGTATATATAAACACATGTATATGAACCTTCATGTCATCACGTTTAGGGCTGGTAGCACCTGTGTGTATATATAAATACAGATATATGAACCTTAATTTCATCACGTTTAGTACTGGTAGCACATGTCTGTATATATAAACACATGTGCTACCATCCCTAAACGTGATGACATGAAGGTTCATATACATGTGTTTATATATAAACACAGATATATGAAACTTCATTTCATCACGCTTAGGACTGGTAGCACATGTGTGTATAAACACAGATATATGAAACTTCATTTCATCACGCTTAGGACTGGTAGCACATCTGTGTATATATAAACACATGTGCTACCATCCCTAAACGTGATGAAATCAAGGTTCATATATCTGTATTTATATATACACACATTTGTTACCAGCCCTAAACGTGATGACATGAAGGTTCATATATCTGTGTTTATATACACATGTGCTACCACTCCTAAACGTGATGAAAGGAAGGTTCATATATCTGTATTTATATATACACACAGATATATGAAACTTCATTTCATCACGTTTAGGAGTGGTAGCACATGTGTATATATATAAACACAGATATATGAGCCTTCATTTCATCACGTGTAGGACTGGTAGCACATGGGTGTATATATAAACACAGACATATGAACCTTCATTTAATCACGTGTAGGACTGGTAGCACATGGGTGTATATATAAACACATGTGCTACCATCCCTAAACGTGATGACATGAAGGTTCATATATCTGTGTTTATATACACATGTGCTACCACTCCTAAACGTGATGAAACGAAGGTTCATATATCTGTGTGTATATATAAATACAGATATATGAACCTTGATTTCATCACGTTTAGTACTGGTAGCACATGTGTTTATATATAAACACATGTGCTACCAGTCCTAAATGTGATGAAATGAAGGTTCATATATCTGTGTTTATATATAGATATTCACAAATGCTTTAGAAGTATTATGAAGTTCAAGGTCAAAGCCATTCACCATGTCCTCCTTAGAAGTGTGTGTTCTCTGATAGACGTATCTGTATATGTGGTGGAACAGCCTGCTAACATCCATTTTGAAGTTTTTTCCAAACATTAAATATTAACTGTTTCGTTTAATGACTAACATGCTCTATTCTAATTATTGTTTGATATTGTTTCAGTGTCAACTAAGTGCTGATCAGAGTTAAATTTCAAATAAATGAGTGAAGATGAACGACCTTGATATTTTGTTTAACTGATGCATGAAACAAGCCATTGTTAGGTTTCACCTTACCGTGGTCTGTTACAGAAACACTTAGCCATTTGTCAAAACTACATTTTGTATGAGAATTTTGTCTAAATTGCTCACAGAAAGCATTCATTCACTTTGATGAATGCTTTCAAGGTGAAATTAAATTGCGGCTAAAAATGAAAAGTGTTTGTAGGATTTATTAAAACTATTAACAGTTCTTTAAAAATGAGAAATAATTGTGTTTCGTCATTGTACCGCAAATTGTGTTTGTGAGAAGTAAAGGCTGCTTTATTAGACTTTTTATTGATTAAACCAATAATTCAGTGGTATGTTTTAATCTTTTTATGTTTTAAACTTAATTCCCGAGTGCTGCGTACGCTGCAGTTTAAATCGCTGTGTGTGTGGAAATGACTGTTTGGAGACACAACTGGATGTATATACGATGTACAGTATACATTGATGGCCATTTAAAATGAGGTTTTATTTCTATTGAAGTGACATTTTCATTTAATCGAGCTTATTTACTGTAGATAGTAGAATGGAGGGTTTGCCATGTTTGTGTTACGAGTTGATGGCCACTTGCATTGTATGAAAGACGTCTGGACCCCACCCCATGAGGAGCATCTCCTCATCGCCTAGTCCTGTTACATTCTGTACGGCCAATGGTTTCAATATATGTAACAATGTTACTGATGTGAGCTGTGTTATGGAGATATAAATTGCCGTAGTTAACGCCGTACTTACAGTCGTAAGCCTCCCTGAGGTTAAAGACCTGTCCAGTGACGTTTGTGGAATCAGTAATGTGAAGTATTGGTAACGCACAGTCGGGCCACATTATTGGTACGAAGAAACACAATAACGTTGAAGACAAAGGCTGTTATGAGAATATGACAAATAAGGAGACACTGGTCAAATAGCGTTTTTTTGGACACATTATTTGACATAGTTGTTCATCAAAGCCTTCCGTTTCTGCTGTGTCGTTACAGGTGTGGATCTGAGGGTTCAACATCTCTCTCTGTTTTATATGTTTTATATATTTTACTGGTGTGTTTGTAGAAATTTTAAATCATTTGCATTATTCAATTTCCTTTATATCCATAACACTAAAATTTCTTTAATGTTATGATTTCTTATTATCCTTTTCCTTGTTTGATCGTTTAATGATCAGTCAGGTTTAGACATTTAAATTATCTCATAAATCTGGTGCATTCGAGTAGGTCTCTCTTTCACACTCATTTACAAACTGGATTTTTATCTGTGTAATATATTTTATCAGATAGTGGTCTACCAGTAGGGATAGGAAGTAGATAAAACACATACACCTTTGATCGGAGGGCACGTTATGATTGGAAGATACATGGCCCCATAGGTTGGTGCTAGTAGATATAAACTCCTCTCCACAAACTCTGTATCTAATATCTCATACTAATATGGAAACTTTCATATACTAGCACACTTGGATATAAAACTCTTTATAATTTCATCTACACATGTTGAAGTATGCTGGTGATGTATCGGTCGTGGTCATTTCAATCTGGAGTATGGACAGACACAGGAGAGTGGTGAATAGATCACTGGTGAAAACAGGGCTAATATTGGAGCTAATGTCATGAAAACATTTCAGTCTGGTTTCTTTGTTATATAACGGCTATGTACATGTCAGCTGTGGATTTGCTACAGGGCAAGGATGACCTTTGACATTACGTATATTACACTATAAGATGTTTCCTCAGACTTGTCCTTTCACGGTTTGTGACGTCTAGATGTCGACAGTTAATGACAATTTTATGATTTTTTTTGTACTTCCAGATTCCAACCGATTCTGTTGGGAATATATCACACTGGTTTACCTTATCACTCTGCAAATAGAGCTGTGGCTGGCTTGACCGTTGGTGTGACTGGTGCTGTGGCTCTATTGACCATTAGTGAGACTGAAGCTGATTTGACCAGTACTGGTCCTGCTGGTATATTGATGCTGACTTGCTGATGCGGGTATATCTACATAGAGAGATGTGTGTACACAGTAATCAGCCTGATTTCCCCTGGTGATCACCAAATAGTGTTTGGATGTAAGTTGACCATTCCTTGACCAAGTGACCCCTGGTCAGTAGGACATACTGGACCTTCACTGACAGGTTCACTTTTCACTTTTGCACAAAACATGTCTGCCACAACAGCACCCACAAAAGAGGATTTGGAGGAGGAGCCGAGCTCTGTGGCGGAGTGGAGGACAAAATGTCAGGCCCTGGAGACGTCCCTCCACAAGTTTCGGGAACAGGTTTCCAAAATACGGGACAACCTGGGCAGAAAAGTAAGTCTTTATGTCTTTGTCAAGTCGGTTACTGTATGTCTTTAACGTGTAAGATATTTCGCAAGTTTTCCATGTCTTTATCTTAGTGGCTTTCTATTTTGTCCCCTGTACTTACGTAGAATTTCAATAATCAGACCCATTATGAAAGGCGACAGAGGTCAAAGAGTTCAAAATCACAAGTAGGCGGATAGTCCACAATTTAGTGTTCATATGTATCAGAATGGACAAAGATACTTTAACTGACGGTATTTGCGGTCTAATATTTTCTGAAAATGTAATTTTTAGGTCACCTGAGACAAAGTCTCAAGTGACCTATTGCGATCGCCTTTTGTCCGTCGTCGTGCGTCCGTAAACAATTTACATTTTCGACTTCTTCTCCAAAACCCCTGAACCAATTTCAATGAAATTTTGCAGGGACCTTCCATGGACAAAGGTCAACAAAAATAGT